GAGATGGGGATGGGGATGGTGGGATGGGGATGGTGGGATGGTGGAGATGGTGATGGTGGAGATGGGGATGGTGATGGTGGGATGGTGGTGATGGGGATGGTGGGATGGTGGAGATGGGGATTGTGGGATGGGGATGGTGGGATGGTGATGGTAGGATGGGGATGGTGATGGTGGGATGGTGATGATGGGATGGTGATGATGGGATGGTCATGGTGGGATGGTGGAGATGGGGATGGTGGGATGGTGGAGATGGTGATGGGGATAGTGGGATGGTCATGGTGGGATGGTGGAGATGGGGATGGGGATGGTGGGATGGGGATGGTGGGATGGTGGAGATGGGGATGGGGATGGTGGAGATGGGCATGGTGGAGATGGTGGAGATGGTGATGGTAGGATGGGGATGGTGATGGTGTTGGTGATGGTGGAGATGGTGGGATGGTGATGGGGATGGTGGGATGGTCATGGTGGGATGGTGGAGATGGGGATGGAGATGGTGATGGTGGAGATGGGCATGGTGGGATGGTGGAGATGGTGATGGTGGGATGGCAATGGGGATGGTGGAGATGGTGGAGATGAGGATGGTGGGATGGTGGAGATGGGGATGGTGAGAGTGTGGAGATGGGGATGGTGGGATGGTGGAGATGATGGAATGGTGGACATGCTGAGATGGTGGAGTTGGTGAAGATGGTGGAACGGTGGGATGGTGGAGATGGTGGAATGGTGGACATGCTGAGATGGTGGAGTTGGTGGAGATGATGGAACGGTGGACATGCTGAGATGGTGGAGTTGGTGGAGATGATGGAACGGTGGAGATTGTGGGATGGTGGAGATGATGGAATGGTGGGATGGTGGAGATGATGGAATGATGGAGATGATGGAATGGTGGGATGGTGGAGATGATGGAACAGTGGACATGCTGAGATGGTGGAGTTGGTGGAGATGATGGAATGGTGGGATTGTGGAGATGATGGAATGGTGGGATTGTGGGGATGGTGGAACGGTGGAGATGATGGAGATGGTGGACATGCTGAGATGGTGGAGTTGGTGAAGATGATGGAACAGTGGGATGGTGGAGATGATGGAATGGTGGGATGGTGCAGATGATGGAATGGTGGAGATGGTGGAATGGTGGGATTGTGGGGATGGTGGAACGGTGGACATGCTGAGATGGTGGAACGGTGGAGATGATGCAGCCAGCTCTGGGGCTGCTCCATGCCCGCGTCGTCCCAGCTCTGGGAGCCGTGGGAAGGGCTGGGCCGGTGCCGTCCCGGACAAGGGTTGGAATTTGGGGATCGGGGATCGCGGGGGGACCCGGCGGGCTCTGGAAGGAATCCCCGATCCCAGGAGATCGGCCGGATCTCCATCGAGATGAACGGCACGCT